CTGGGAGATGCTGAGAGACACTGGGTTGTGACGAAGCAGCAGCTGGGGAGAAGAAGCTGTTGTGGGAGTCTGTGTGTCAGACAGGGTACTTCTGTGTGTCAGAGTACCAACCTGATAGGTTCAGGTGTCTGTTGGTTAGCCAGAACTGATAGGTTCAGGGTCTGTGCTTCAAGTTAAGGGTTCTGGGTGAACCAAACTGTATGCTTGTATGAGTGAGAATAAGCCACGTTACTTTATCTTATTGACCTGATTGTTTATTTTTCCCTGTGTGGTATTAAATAAACCTTATTCTTTTTATTGTTTAAAAATCCATCCCTGGTCTGTGTGACTTCTTAAAGGGAATGGTTGGTGGCAGCTTAGTGTAACTGTGTGACATATCCCAGTAGGTCTGGGTTTGTCACAGTAAGGACATGCCATTTTGCAGGATCGATGCAGTTTACACCTCTAGGGCATTCATTCCTACATGTAGTGCTTTACATGTTTCTACAGAAATATATTCAGAAGCGCTATTCAGTTATTGCTTATGATTTGTAGATTGCCTTTTACCCAGTGAGGGGACCCAAGGCACCTGAAAATGTTAATACACGTAATATTAAAAGCACAATAAATTAAATGTTAAAAAGCAATTAAATGTGAAATAATAAGTAAAAATGAATTATGTAGCATTTAAAGCTTTAAAAGCAAATTTAGTGAAAGAAAGAAAAAAATAGCATCCAAGGACAGTCATCATTCTTAAAAGTTACTAAAAGCTTGTCTGAAGAGGTGGTCTTCCAACCATTGACAGAAGGATAAAAGGGAGGGGGGGCAACCTAACATTTGAAGGGAGAGCCTTCCATAGCCTGGGGGCTGCCAGAGAAAAGACCCTCTTTCATGTCTCCATCAAACATGCCTGCATTGGCAATGGGCCTGAGAGAAAGGCCTCCTCTGAAGATCTAAGGGCCAAGAAGAGGGAGATATGGTATTTCGGATAGTCCGGACCTAAACCACAAAGAGTTTTATATAGGATGTAACCAGCACTTTAAATTGGCCCTAGAAATGACTTGTAGCCAGTGCAGTTGTTGTAGCAGAGAGTTATACACTCCCTAGAACAACTGCAGGGAGGGATAAATCTACTCCCTGGATTAATATATAGATCCCGTTTACCTCACTTTTGAGAAGAGAAGCAGTACAATCGTGCATGACAATTAGGTTAGACGCATTCCATGTTCTAAATTATATTTCAAAGGAAACATCAAGGTATATTTTACCGATGTGTGTTGCCTTTGAAAAAATGTTCCAGTGCATTTATATGTTTTCCCCCCCTAGGTTCACAGCCACTAGTTGAATCTCTGGTCCTTTATTGTGGATAAGTTATAAGAGCCTACACTTAATAAGACACCAGCCAGAAATGCTTTCTCAGAACAGGCAATTTATCATGTTGCATTTAGTCTTAGCCAGGATTTGACCAGAATAGTCCTGTAAACAAGCAAACTTTTCAGAGGAAAACACACATGCCCACAGCCTTTCCAGCCAGACATACCCTGAAGACACCAGAGGAGTTTTCCTTAGAGAGGTCTTTTTTCAGGACTTACCAGAAACAGTTACATTAACTTGAGCCAAGCATCTTTGGGTAAAGTACTCCCTGATTCGATACAGGCCTTCATCTGCTTTTTTCGCATCCTGCAAGGTGAAATTTTGGTTGTCCAGAGAAACCTCTGTCTTGTTGTCATGTTTGTTAAGATGATTTGGAAGACCAATCCTAAACCTTTTTCCCTTACGTTCTTGGAAGTCACCGTGAAGTAACAAAATCTTCCCAGTTGTATTAATTGGGAGAATCACTGATTCACTGCTCCCTTGAGGTACACTCATATGGAATGTGTGGCTACATTCTTCTGTTCCTGTTAAAACAAAATGTTGATATGGATGACTTTCAGAAACCGTTAGAATTAAGGATACAGCAGAAGTTGGTTTGTGGTTTAGCGGTCAGAATATCAGACTTAAGAAGCTGGGCTTCAAATCCCTGCCTGGCCACAAATAAAGGGAGGTTAAATCAGAGGATGATCCATCTTGTACTTCCAGCAGAGACAAATATATTCAATTCCCTTAATTGGACAGCAAAAGAAGTTAGCACAACTTGGAATTAAAATTAACTTAGCATGTCCCAAAAACACCACACAGAACTTAAACCAGCTTAAATGATTACTCAGACACTGCTTTTAAAGTAAAAGAAAGAAGATCTTTACTCACAGAAACAACTTGCAAACTGCAGGCTGAAGCTTGATTCAGAAAAGTTGCAACAGTAAATAAAAATAACAAGAACGTCCCAGGTTAACAAGAAGGATAAAGAAATGGTTAAAACAGTAAAAAATGGGTTATCTCAGACCCCGTGGTTGGAGGGAACAAAAATGGTGGGCTTAGGAGGGGTTCATCAGAGCATCCTCCCTCTAACATGTCCCAAAACCTTCTGGAAGAATGTCTATACCAAGGCAGAAAACAATAGTAATGAGAAAGGAGGAGTTTTACCTTTGCCTGCCAAACAACAGCCAGTAGTTAATTGGTTAAGGAGAGGAACAGGTGGTCAAAGGAACTACCAGCGTTCAAAATAAATAATGCACAATTCCTCTCGGGTGGTTGTGCGCTGGCTGGCATGTTGATTTGCTATACAAACTCCAATAGGTTTACCAATATTAAACCACTTCTTTAATATCTCACATACCTCAAAATTCTATTACAGAATTGCCCTGCCAGGAAAAAGACAAGGCAAGATCATCATTACAAAACATGGTACTGGGCTTTGTGATTCCTTAGAGCTCACAATAGCTCAGTTAGGTAAGACTCTTAAAGATAGCTAGTTTGTGGCCCTCTCCACCTCCTGGATTTAGCCAGACCCTGCTGTTCAACAGACCTGTCCTTTTGTAGAATTTTTATATTCAATTTTGAAAAGAAAACTAGAGTTTCACTAGAATCAGTTTATATTGCACAAGCATCAGCATCAAGAACATATTCAAAGATCATTGCAGTTAAATAAAATAACTATTTCCCATGAAAATAATAAACACTACTAAACTGGCTAAGGTGGGCTATAGTGGGCTCCTTCTTTCCCCTTTACTTACATCCTCTCTCCTTCATGGAATCGAATCCAGATCAGAACATTTGAATCTCCATTCAGCTACTTTCACATAACCCACCATCCATTTCTCTACACTCTCTAACTCCTCATTTCTTCTTGACAACTCGAATCTCCATTCAGCTACTTTCACATAAGCCACCATCCATTTCTCTAACTCTTCATTTCTTCTTGACAATTCTGGCTGTTAACCAATTAGCCTTAAGAGGCTGTACCAATTTCCTCCTCCCCTTATTCCCACTAGAGTCCAGGTATTTAATCTTTTCTCCAGTTCCCTCGGAATGTTGAGCCTTTCACGGGCTCTCATTTCGCCCTTCAGCTTTACCTCGAACCAGGCTGTAAGGGTCACCAGAAAAAAAACACTCTCAGGACACTTAGAAAAATACAGTCCAATGTCTCTCAATTCATCTTCACACAGAAACCATCTGACTCCATCCTACATTTCTCAGACTACATATCCCATCATCATGTCAGGGGCGTTGGCCATTGGCCCTGCCTGGCATCGCGGAGGGCAGTGCCAAGGCTGCCGGGAGGGCTGGCATCTTCCACTGCGACATCGCTCCCCCTCCCTCGGCAGTGGAGTTGAGATCATGCGCGACAAACCACAGTTTTCCGGCCACCGAGCCTGCCCCGGTTGAAGGTAACGAGGCAACAGACCATGAGCCAACCCCTCCCCCCTTCATCAAAGTCTTCCCTTGCCTTCCCCCCCCCCGCCAGGATCCTTTGATTTCCTTTAGCTCCCGCCCCTCCCCACGCGCCCCCTTTACCTGCACAGCATGGCTTGATAGAACCTGCAGAGAGGAAGAAAACAGCCACACGGGCCGCAAACCACCGGTGCCGGCTCTCGCTGCGCGCCATGGCTTCTCCGGGCAGAATGAAGAGCACTTCCTCGGGTGCCTGAAGTCATCTGGTGGAGCTCCTCCCCAACTTCCCCCTTCGGTTCTACCCTCTCCGTGTCTTTTAGGGACGAGCCATGTCACATCTGAAAAAAAAAACAACAACGGTGTTTTTCAAAACGAGAGGGGGACGCTGCTCTTCATGCAGTCTTCCACAAAATAAACGTTCTTTCCTAAAATATTTGTTCAAAAAAAAAATCCTATTAGTTCACAAGGTGCGCCTCTGCACGGTGTGTCCTTAGGCAGTGGTTCTTAACCTTTGTTACTCGGATGCTTTTGAACTGCAACTCCCAGAAACCCCAGTCAGGACAGCTGGTGGTGAAGGCTTCTGAGAGTTGCAGTCCAAAACTCCTGAGTAACCCAAGGTTAAGAACCAGTGGTTTAGAGAGTGTGACTAACTCTGCAACCCGTGTACAGGAACGCGTTCGCAAAAGCGTGTTCCTGACCTCCTGGAACTTACTTTCTTAAACAGATAAATTAAACAGGTCGTATTATTAGCATCCCGTGCAAAATAGCTTTGGTGACCAAATGGTTGACTGACAATTTCTCTCCGGAAAGAGCTACAGTAACATGGCCGTCGGGGTTAGCGCGATCTCTACTGTCCCCAAGAGATTTCGCAACCGTTTCAGCGTCCTTAATTTTACTCTAGAACTGCGGTATTGGTTTGAAGAGTTTCCCCTGCAACCAAATCGTGAGGATTAGGTGTTTAATTCGTTTTGGCAGCAATGAACTCATGCCGATCCCTCCGGAGCTTCTCTGCAAAACCGTTTGTTTTTTTAAAAAGAAAGTATGTATCACACTTTCATTAGCAACAAACATCAAAGGAATCGGAACTAGCTTTTTACAAGACCAAGATTTCGTTTTAAAGTATCACTTTCAGCCACTTTGTTCCTTTTTTTAAAAAAATCAACCTTCCCCGACGGATTTCGTTTTAAAGTATCACTTTCAGCCGCTTTGTTCCTTTTTTTTTTAAATCAACCTTCCCCGTCTGATCATCGAAAACCTGGGTTCATGGAGCATCACAATATTACGCCCTTTCCCGTTTCTCAAGATGACGAAGAAAGAGTCAAAAGAAAAACGCCGAACAAATAAGAAGCAAGTGTATTAAAGCAGTAGCCTGCCCAGTGAGGATAGAAGGCTCGACTAGGCTTGGTTTAAACCCACCAAAAAACAGCACTCAGGGCAAATTATAAACTCTAAATAGAACAAAAATAGATTTAAAAACCTCCTGTAGTTTAAAGAGGCGATGGAAACTTAACGGCAGTGGTGGGGGAAGAGAAGGAAATTGGTACAACCACTCCTTAAATAAGTTCACTTAACTTGAAAGCCTTGTTAGGGTCTCCAGAATCGTGATGTGATTTGAGGGATCACGATGACACGCACATTGTCTTTATGGTGCCATAAAGTTGCTCATCGTTCATTCATTCAGTTCTCATGCAAAGTACAGTACTAGCAACGACTAACATGCGATCTCTTCTAAATATTACTGGACTGAAAATCCCAGGGACGCGAGCTGGGCCTTAACCGCGAGCCCCGGTCGTAATAGCCCGAATTGGAGAGGGGGCGCGCACGCGTTCACCGGGACCCGCCCTCCGACCATTCGGACGACATGGGCAGCACAAGATGGCTTAAGCATTCTTTAAACTCTGGGGCCCTTGCCTTCCCCGAAGGACGGCCGGTCCTGTTCGAAATGGCCCGCTCCCTCCTCGGATCTCTCACTCTCCGTCCTGGGGGCGCCAGAAGTGGGTTCTGACACCGAGTGAAGAAACATTGTAATTTTGGAATGAAAATGGATGGAAAGAAGTGTAATGCTAGTCCTGAGGGTGATGGGTTCACTGCTATGTTTTGTAATTTATAGTCTCGTAATTTATAGGGTGTTTTCTTTTGTAGTAGTAGGTATTTTGTATTTTTCGTATTTTTTTGTATTTTTTGTACTTTTTTATTAAAATAAAATTTATTAAAATTAAAAAAAAAGAAGTGGGTTCTGACTCGAGGGTACATCTCCACCCACACCCACCCCTTGGCGCTGTCAAAATCCGAGGGAGGCGATCTCCGGCTTAACCGCCCGCTTGGGGTCTTAATGGCCCGAAGAGGGCCCGAAGGTGACCCTTCCCAGGGAGGAGGGCGAAGCCCCGCGTCCCTCTGCGCACCTGGCCAGCGCGCCTGCCAGGTTGTGGGGGGAGTGGGTGCGGGTGTGGGCGTCCCTCCTCTCCCCCTCCTGCTTCTGGACGGCCGCCCGGCCGCTCACCTGCTTCCTTTTGCTGCTTCTGTTCTCCAGGCTGCTGCTTCGGACTGGCTGGAGCGGCGATGCGGCGAGATCTCCCTTGGAGAGACCCCCGCCGAGGAAAGGCGCCTGACGGCTCCAGGTAAGTGCGGAGGGACCGGGCGCTGTCCAGGTTAGCCGCCGGGTCTCTTCCGCCCAGTCCAGGGAGGGCGCACCTTTTTTCTCTCTGATCAAGCGCCCTTTGCGCGGCACAGGACCGAGGGCGCTCTCTTTCCCGCGTGCCTCTGGAGAGACTCTTGGGGAGCCTGGCTTGAAGCCGGACGTCTGCCGAGGGAGGAAAGGCCGGGCGGCACCTCAGATGCTCCCCCCCCCCCCCGCAAGGCCCGNNNNTCTCGAGCTTCCAGCAGCTGCTGGACCAGACTGAGTGTAGTTCCTATTGCTACGGGATCTCCAATCCCACTGTCAAAAGGACACCGGCTTTGCAGAGCTGTGTCCAAAACGGGGAGTAGGGAACATTTTGAGAAGGATGTAAAGCCCAGTGGTTGAAGCTTGACTTGTGGTATGCGCAGAAAATAGCCTTCTTGCATACAACCTTAAGCTCAAGAGCTGCCACACAGTCACTTCTTGTTTTTTTCACAACATGGTACCTGACTCTGAGATCACAAGATACCAACATTTTGCACAGATGTTTGAAGTTTGCTGGCCTTTTTCGCCAGAAAATGAAGACTTTGCACGAATGACTATTGTCATAGTATGGGCGGCAGCGCGGGGGGAGGGGGGCTGAAGATTTGCGCAAATCTTTCTGATCAGTGCAATTCGCATGGAATCCCAGCGCTGTGCTTCCGCTGGAGACTGAGCTGTTCTAGCTACTGTGCAAAAAACAGAAAAGGAAGAGGAGGAGGAAAGGATCGTGGCTTGACAATACTTTACTCCAGAGCGTCTGGAGGTCTGGATACCCACCACCTGCAATGAACTAGTGGTGCAATCAATTGCACTGCTGTTTGCAATATCAGAGATGTGGGCTAGCTGAGCATAACTCCCTGCAAACTTTATGCGGTGCCAAATGTAATAGGATTTCAGTTGCTATGCTTAAAAATATCACATCAATACATTGAATGCTGAATGCAATACTGTATATTCAATATTCTTAAACCTTTGCTTTGTGAAATTGATGGGATCTGTAAAATTGCATTACTGTATTATGGCACTTCGCTGAGCCAGATCCCATGTCTACAAATTATATGTGCTTGGTCGTACACCTGGATTACCTGCAACAGAATGTAGTAGCAAATTGGGATCCCCCATGGAAAATAATTGGAGATCTATACATGTGTAAAAAAACTATTTGCACACTTAGGCACATCTAGTTATGCGAGACAGCCATGACAGCTCTATGAAACAGCAGAAAAAAGGGGGGGGAAGCTCAAGGAGTGAGTTGCGGGGCGGGGCTCACTCTTAAATTTAGAGAGGGGACACTCTCCCTATGCCAATAAGGGGGTATGGAAGAAAAATATTTTTGGAGAAAGTAATGTGTCTGCAAAGAGTGCTGTACCGCAAATCCAGTGGACCAGAAATACTTTTCATAACTGATGTCAATTAAAAGGTCAATGTGCATATGTTTCATTTTATGACTCCTTGAGAAATTGTTGCTATACTGTATTTGCCTTCATTTTATGATTGCTTGGCAAATGTTTACAATACCATGTTTGCTTTTTAAACACCTTCTACAGCTTCCAAAAAAAAGCAGAATAAAAAAATGATTTGAAAAATCTGACAGTAACCCTCATAAAGCTTTTTGAAATAAAAGCCAGAAAGCACGAGTGGAGAGGACCCCCTGTATATCTTTGGTTTTAACAGCCATTCACACACAGAGCTATTCGACAAAGAGGAGCTTTCTACTGTCTGTGAAAGCAGACTGAGTCCACAGAAGTTCACATTAAAATATAAAAGTTGGTCTTTAACATGGTGCTTGTTCTGAGCTGTCTGTGACGCATCAGGAAAGAGATCTCAGTGTGCTGGGGGACAGCTCGATGAAAGTGTGAAGCCAGTGTGCGGTGGCAGTGAAGAAGGGCAATTCCATGCTAGGGATCATTAAAAAGGGGATTGAAAATAAAACAGCCAACATTATGATGCCAGTAACACTGGTAAGGCTGTACTTGGAGTATTGTGTACAGTTCTGGTCCCCGCACCTCAAAAAAAGACATAATGGAACTAGAGTGTAGAAGAGAGTGACTAAAATGGTGACTGGGCTGGGGCACCTCCCTTATGAGGACAGGCTGCAGCGTTTGGGGCTCTTTAGAAAATAGGCGCCTGAAGGGGGACCTGACTGAGACTATCTTAGAAATATCCTTTGGAAGCAGTTTTTAGAAATGACTAACAGCTTTACTTCATTGCCCAAGTCAAGTAATTTCTTTCCTGCTCATTATGTTACTCTTCAAATGCAATTATGTTATCCTATTATCACGAAAGTGAAAAAGAAAAACAAAACAAGAGAAATGCTTTATCCTGCTTCCTTAGTCATGCAGAGTGAGGTGGAAAGGGTCTGCTTGCATTGAAGTGAGTTGCTAGCACAGAAGCTATTTTCAGATCTCTTTGCCCAAATGCTGAAGGTCAGATAGAAAAGATGTAAGACGGGAGGCACAACAGATGTTGGAGGGAGAAGGACAGCAGGCATTGGGCTGTGCAAAGTCTCTACCATATTTGGAGATCACACCACCAGGCTTGTGGGATCAGGTGAACCAACTACAGAGTTGGCTTCCACTGAGCTGTGGTTGGCATGGAGATTGGCTTCCTGTTTGTTTCTTCTCCTGCTGCTGAAGACCCGTCAGTTTGTCTAGACAAATGGGTTATCTTTTTCTGCTTACAACTTTATACACTTTAAATTTGTTCTGCACATTTGGCTGCAAGGCCACTCTGGGCAGTTTACAATAAAACGAAACAAAACAATAAAAGAATAACACCAACACTATATTAAAAAAATCAGACATAAATACCTATACAAAAATCAAAATTGCAACATCTATCAAAATTGCAATATCCATCACTAATAACTAAAACAAGGACACAAACATAAACACAAATAAGACCAAAAACATTGCATTGATCACCTGGTTAAAAGGCAGAAAAAGAATCAGCAAAAAAGTATACGGGATGCCAAATCCTACAAACCACAAAGATTAGAAGATGTTACAGAGGCACTTCTGCATAGGCAGCTGATGAATAAGATTAACAGCTGGAGGGTTGTGCAGACTGACCACAATAAATGTGTTTTTATCAGAGATAACATTCCTTAGAGGAACATTCTCTGCCTTAATAACTAGATTTTCAAGAGAAAATGAAGTTCTTAAAACATCCGTTGAAAGCCACGTTGACTCTGTGGTTTTGGTCTCCAAAGGTTGTCTCCAGTGTAGCAGCTCCTGTTGTCTTCAGCACCTTTCTCTGCATAGGTCATGGTTGGGGAAATAACCTATGCAGATTTAAACATCCAGGAAACCCCTTCATCTTTGAGCCCATCCGTGCCACATCCATCTGAGAACTCCGGTAAGTGCCCTATTTATTCATGTTTTCATCACTGACGGATGTTTAGTACAAGTAATTCAGCGGGGGGGGGGACCCTAGAATCTGAATTTCTCTGATTTCTCCCGTAGGTCTCTTAACAGTTATTTTGCTGTCAGAGCGAACCTGCTGGACAGTCTCTAAAACGATGGAGGCTCCTTTTAATTTAGAACTCAGAACAAATTACATGGAGACATAACAGGTGAAGGCTCCGACAATGTGAATAGTAATGCTTAAGTATTAAAATCACAATGACTGAGAGGAATTAATTGCTCGTAGAACAGAATAATGAATGCACTCCTCCGAGAATTATAAAATATTCAATTTACCTCACATTATTTCAGTTTTTAAAATTCCTCCTTTCCCTGTAACTATGAGAGCCATTTGGATGTAACGGATAGTGTGTCAACCCGGGACTTAGGAGATCTGGGTTCATATCCCCACTTGGCCACAGAAACTGAGGTGGCAGTTATGAACAATTCCTTCAGTAGCTCATGACACTCCCAACAACTTGAGCATATCTGAGTTAGATTTGGGGGCTTAATGAAAATTAACAATACTGAAAATTAACTAAACTGTAACTCTAGTTTTTTCATTAGAGAAAATGTCATCCATAATAGGTTGAACTCCACCTCTCAGATTAAACAAATGATCCCCTCCAATGGTGCTTTTACTTTGTCTGGAGAGAACTTCACTTTACCTGTCTTCATTGGGTTCATTATTTTTTATTTTTAAAAGAAATAAACCACACTAAAAAAACCCCCACACCATTGTACCTCTTTCTATTTTGAATCCTCTCCAGCTGTTTGTGTGTGTGATTCATCTGCTCCTTTACTGATTCTGGGTACTCATTCACAACCTTAATATCCGTATCTAAACCAGACATAAAGGAAAAATGACCTTGCCATATATTATGCCATATATTATGGGTATGAAGGGGAATGTAAACAAAAAAAAGCACTACATATCTTTCCCAAACACCCACACATGTCTAAAATAAGCACAGGCAGCCTTAATCTGAATCATGATAAAGGTGCATGGGGGAGGAAATACACCTTCCCATTTCATTTTTTTTGTGTATACATGCTGGATGGGTCTGAACAGGTTTTCTTTCTTTTTAAAAAAAAACAACCCACAACCCTAGCCTTTATAACAATGGGATCCCCCACCATTTTAACCTCCACTTGAGGGGACAATTTTAAAAATAAAAACCAGATGGGAAAGAAGTTTATTCTGCTCCCACCTGCGCATGTCTTGGTCCCAATCATAACCAGGACTGTGCATTGAAGCAGAATTAAAATGGAGTTACTCCCCCCCTCAACTTGATAAGTATAAGTCCATCCAGAGATGATGCTGTCAGACAGCTGTATTTCAGCTGTTTCTAGAGTGATCTTGTGCTGGTCAAACTTTAATTGTAGTTGTTTTTTGACACAAAACCCAACAGCAACACAGCCTGTCCAGAGTCATTTAGCAAAGTCCTACAGTATTATTGAGAAACTTCTTCCTCTAGAAGCAGATGACTTATTTCTTTCAATTTAAAAGTGAGGTGCTTGGGAGTAACAATATTTTCAGATTTCCAGAGGTTTCACCTCTGCCATTTTAACCATCACACAAAACAGAAATAATAGCCTTTATGTACAGAAAGGCTATTATTTCTGTTTCAGTTAAAAAGATCATAGCCTGAACACTGGTAATTCTGCCTCGCTAGCTGCATCCTCTTATATGAAATATTGCAGACATCTTAACCAGTTGTAGTTGCAGAAGAGGTAGCCATGTTAGTTTGTGCAAGCGTTAGCAGTGAAAACAAAATAAAAATTAAAAAATGATTTTAAAAAAAGAACAAATAAAAAAGATAAAAACATGGTGGCACTATCTTATATTTTAAGTTAAAACTTATATTTTTTAAATGTGCACTTCTGTGGACAAGTCCACTTCCTCCTACATCTTAACCAGTTGTTCTTAAAGGTGTGCACACACATATCTAATACATTTTATCTACAGGTTAGGAGCTATAGGATTGCAGCTGAGAGAATCCTACATTTCTTCTTCACCATGAGTTGAAACCACTTCCTTTCTCGTTGTATGGGTTTACCATACATGTACTTACAATGACAATAAATTTATTTGATTTGATATATAATACATTCTCCCTCCCTTTGTTACTTTTATGAAAATAACATGCATAGAAGAAAGGACACCGATTTACTCATGAAGGTTGGTTGGTGGATTGGGCTGTAAGGTGACCCTACTTTGCACATTTCCCTGGTAGTAAGCCTCTTAAATACACTCGGCCTCCCCTTACCCCAATTAAATGTGCTTTGAATCAGATGGCGTGCCTACACTGCAAGCCACATGTCCCTCCAGACAGCATAACTCTGAACTTTATGGCTGAATGGAAGTTTGGATACAGGTCTCTGAAGCCTTCGTCCAACACGCTAACCATTTACACCTGGTGGCATATCCTCCTTGCTTCCTTCAGCATCAGGATATCATGAACAACAGATTCCATTGTTTGCCTTATTTTATTTTTCTTCAAGAAGTCATTCAATATGTTCCTGTGAAAGAACCATGCATGTAATCATTTTAGTAACTTTAACTGTCATTCCTTTCATGCTCATCCTCCTCACTATCATTTTGTGTCACCTACAGTGGTGTGCCCTGATATTTAGCTCAAGTTAATTTAACATCTAAGGTCCAGTGCAGGCTTAGTGATCACAGTGTAAGAGCTACTGTCCCATTGCAGCACACACACACACACCCTTGAAGGTATTTAGAGCAAAGAATCACTTAAGTCGCTGATGGACACCTGTTGAACAACAAATACGATGATCTTCATGGTTAGCTGTTCTGGTTGGAGCTACAGTAATAGGAACTGTAGTCTGATGCCATCTGGAACAGCTTTTGAAGTTCCTTCCCACACGGGCAATCATTGATGGGCGGCGGGGGGGGGGCAGCAATGGGGAAGCAATGCTTAAATGAAAAAAGAACATACGAGAAACAGCTTCCATGTCACTCACAAGGAATTGGGACTAGGTGAGTGATGGAATGGGGAGGGGGGAATGGACTTTGATTGCTCATGCCTTCACTCTCTGCCTTGTCTTGGTTAACCACAGTTTTTCAGTGCTTGAGTTATGACATGGAAATTTATATGCTGTACAGTCATACTGACTGCCACCCCCTCCTTCTGGAGGTCCTTGGGCACAGTGCTACTACCCACAAGTGACAGGACATGGAGAACCATAACACAAACACACACATCGTGGTTAGACTAAATATTATGTGTAAAGACCACATAGGAAAACCTACCAAATCTCTGCTTTTTTAAGAGAAAAATGTTAAACACACACAAAAATTCAGCAAAACTTTATGCAAATCTATGAGGTTAAAATGCCTTTGTGCTTATTTTTATTTTTCAAACCACAAGCAGTATATCAAAGTACTGTAATGATAAATAAACCTTGTAGCAGCTGATAACAGTCCCACAGCATGCATTATTGTATTACAATAATGTATTGTATTTGCATTTTAGATAATGAGAGAGAGACAGAGAGAGCGCAAGGCAAAGAGTTGTTGATATACACTCTCTGTTTTAAATTGCTCTTTTTTGATATCATTAACTCTTCAGGGACTCCAAGTCATTATTGGCTATATTGCAAGCTCAGTCAGCAAAGGGAATTTTATGGTTTCTTAATTTTATGATTTTTCTTCCAGTGGCCACTGTTCCTTCTGGGCTTTTCTCCATCTTGGGAAATGTTAGAGATGTTCACCTCCACCCCTATCACAAAAATCCGTAGAAACCCATAGAAGCAGCTTGTGGTCCAAGCACATGGGGGCCTTTCCCTCCAAAAGTAGAGGTTGAGGCACATCTCAGATCAAGAGAAAGAATCTCCCAGCAAGCATGGCCACTAAGTATTCATTCATTCATTCATTCATTCATTCATTCATTCATTCATTCATTCATTCATTCATTCATTCATTCATTCATTCATTCATTCATTCATTCATTCATTCATTCAAAACATTTTTACTCTCACTTTCTTCATAAAAAGGACCCAAGGTGGCTTACATCATTAAAATACAGTGTTTATAGCTAGCAATGGTGAGTACACAAACACAAAAACAAATGTCTTACTGGAAAACATAGGCAACGCCAAAACACATTCAAAGCTATAAGATACAACAATCCATTTAAAGACTCCACTCAGGCAGCCAGTCACTGAGGGAAGGCTTGCTTGAAGACAAAGGTCTTCACCTGCTTGGGGAAGGACAGGAAAAATTGGGACACTCTGGCCTCCAGTGGGAGGGAGTTCCAAAGTATGGAAACAGCAACAGAGAAGGCCCTCTCCTGTGTCCCCATAGATGCACCTGTCAAGCTAGCAGGGCGGAGAGAAAGTCCTCTCCTGATGATCTTAAAACTCAATCCGGCTCATAAAGGGGGAAGCAGTCCATGAGATAGCTTGGACCCAAACTGTTTGGGACTTAATAGGTTAGAACCACCACTTTGAATTCAGCCCAGAAACAGATCGGCAGCCAGTGGAGCTGCTGTAACAGGGGGGTTGTGTGACTCCTCTCCCCAGCTCCAGTTAGCAGTCTGGCTGCTGCTAGACTGCTACCTGGACCCACTGAAGTTTCCTGACACTTTTCATTTTCCAGACCACAAACAATATATCAAGGTAATGATAAATAAATTTTGCAGTGACTGATAACAGTCCCACAGCATGCATGATTGTATTACAATTACAACATACTACTCCTTGTGCGCGTTACGGTCCTCCAGCTGGGATGTAACTCAGGCATGTGTTACCTTGGCCAGATCAGGCCCCTCCTGGAATGGACACAGCTGGCACACTAAGTGTTAATTGTACAAACGCAGTGCTGGCTACCTCTGGAACTTGGGCATCCAGGCTCAGAGACGAATCCAGGAGCTCCCCCAAGCTGTATGCTGTTTGGGGGTGAGGGAGCTGAAATCCTGTTGTTTGGTGTAG